AAAAATCACCAGCGGAACTTCAGCTTCACCTCTCTTCTTCAAATTGTCATAAATAGAATTAACACAGGTATAGTTCCCAAAGGGTGCGCGGCACAGTGGTTAGAAGTGCCTGGCGATGCACTGTGGTCAACGATTCGGTATCGCGCCTGAGACTCACCAAGCCCTTCACACCTCCTGAGTCGGTGAATTGGTGTATCAGACTTGTCTGGGAGGATAGCAGCACTGACTTGATCGATCGTCAGGGCACTGCAAGCCACTGTAAAGGCCAGATGATGTACTCAACCACCTCTGACGATGCTGATGAGGTCGGACGCATGGCGCATGCCTCAAGGATTGGTCAACGTTAAGAGCTTTCTCATTTATCCTCCTTTTAAACCTTATGAAGGATGTATTACCGATGGTGAAGCAAGCTTGATTTCTCAGCGTCGTGACAAGAAAGGATGAACATACATTTATCAAGCGCTTATATAATCTATTTTTCAGTACTGGGTATACGGCATAAGGTACAGTCTTTGTGGAGAGTTGTGGTCCCATCAATTTCTAAATTTTTGATTGATTTCCTTAGGTAAAAAAGTACGAGAGCTCGTCTAGGCTTGAGCCTAAAAAAGTGATAGGACCACAACTCTTCACTAACGCCGATAGAAGAACTGAAGATATCTTCAACTCTTCTTCAACCTTTTCGCAGGATGTGTCCCGAAAACGGTACAACGCGTGTCCGCTCTAGTTAACTTGCGTGGATTGGTGCTATACCCGTAAAAGCTTGGCGCTAATTGGGTAAATTCATATCTTAAGAGGACTTCATCATCACTATATGATGGAATATTACTAAAAGGATATCTCTAAATGTATATCTAGTAAAAAGAGACACTAGTAGCCTTTCGCAGCGGTCTGAAAAGCTAGGCAGCCGTGAAAGGTCTGTCTATGGAAAGACTATGAGCAGAAAAATGATGATGAACCTACCAAGAAGTTCCAGTACAGGGACAGATATATGAGCGTCGCGTTCACCAATCCAGTACTTCAGTCGACCAAAGTTCAGTGAGACTAACTTTTCGTTTCTTGAATTCGGAAAGTGGGTCAAATGTCCCCAACTAAAGTGACTTCTATATAAAAGATGCTCAGAGAAAGAAACGATAGATTTTAGCTAACACGGCGCATTCTTCAACCCTTTGCCGAAACGCTTTTTCCGCCTTTTCTTCAGACTTTCTGTAATCATTCGACAGCTCAAAACTCGGCGATTCCAGTACTGTTTGTTTCTCAAAAGGGAGCATGTAGTGGCGAGAATAAAATGAGTTTCACTCTGGGTGCCTAGTTTTTGCTCGGCTAGAGTGTGAATGACGTTGCACACTCCCGATATAATCTGTTTAGGCTTAGGCTTCCAAGCGGGTTTATTTGGGAATACAGAATGAAATGAACGCCTAAGTGCATAGAAAGATAGAACAAAGAATCGTCTACCATTCTGATAAGGGAAATATAGTAATACCTACAAAACCGAGCACGGATTTTCCAATTAATAACGAAAATGTGCGCCATTAGACACTCCGAAGGTGAAATGTAAGTTGTTCTTGTTCCAGTTGCTACGGCGCAATACGAAGATCTTTCAAGAAACTACCCCCCACCCCCTCAAATGAACGACTAGCAAAACTGAGAAAAAAGCGAAAAGGTTCCTCCTCGAAAGGTTGAAATATGTTCCCATAGCAGAATGGATACTTTTACGTTATCCGGAGGACAACAAAGGAATCAAAACCCTTTCCAGTGGACGAACTTTTCATTAGTAATAATAATAATAAAAATAATAGTAATAGTAGACACTCGAAAGATCAAATCTCTAACTACTGCATTACTGACTCCATTTTTGAAGAGACCCTTCTATAACGCTGTAGTATCCAAAATAAAATTATATTCTATACCGGCTGCGCATTCACTATTACTTTACTGGAAGCACGAAAAGCGCATGAATGTGTAAAGGAAATCTTGTAGAATCAAAACTATACGTTTTATCTGAGCCTGCTTTTGAAGCGTAGAAAAATTCCAAATTAAAAAACAAAAATCGTAATGCACATGTGAGCCGCATCAACGCGATCGATTGGTCACGTATCAATCTATGGTCCACATCCTACTCCCTGGCTGACAAGCAATGCGCGATGTATGTGAAACTCAGTCTTATTTTCTCTGTTACACTGTGGGTGAAAACGGTCTTTCCAGAAAATAAGCACAGCATTGGAATCGTTGAACCTTACGCTATCGAATGGTTACTCATGATTCAAGTGAACAGCCTATATCCTGCGAAAAATATGCGTAGGTGAACCCAAATGTTTCCTTACTGTTAGAGCGCTAAGGAAAGGTTTCCTCGAAAAATAGCCACGTTATTCAGTAGCCAGAGATTTGAGCTTCCCAATGATTACTAACGCTCTTTTGAAGTTCTTGCCTAGTGATGAGGTCGTTTTCTTCCTTTGTCTCCGAATAGAACCTGATTTCTAGTATTCTAACGGGAAAATTTTTAGAAATTTCTACGAAACAGAGCACAAACAAAGATACTTGTAATTATTCGCGCCAAAGGTGAAACGTGATTTTATTCTCGTTGCTACAGAGCGCTATCAAAGCCTTTCCGGAAACCAAGCACACCTTTAAAATCGTCGAGATTCAGGCTATCGTAAGGCTGCATCAAGTCTGAGGAAAAAGTGAAAAGAGTCTCGTCTCAAAGGCTTGAAATATGGCCCCTGTAACGGAATGGTATTAAGAAGGCGATAGAACTAAACAAATCACCGACCTGTTCGATGATGTTGCCCTCGTAACGCCGTCCGAGTGCTCGATCAGGAAAGACGCACAACGTGATAGAATGGACGATTTGCGCAGCCGAACAAAGCCAAGCCGATAGATGGACGACCGAAGTACTTGGGAATGACGAGTTTCCTCATTTTATCGACAAAAATCCACCACCGCTCATAGAATGTGGACTGAAGCTGTTCGACGAGTCGAACTTCTCTTACCACCTCAGATCGCGTCTATAACATAAAAAAGCCTAATGTAACATCAAATCACCAGAATATGCATAGCCAACGACCATAATCTCTTCCGTGAGTAATACTCTAATAAAACGTTTCAGAAAAATAGATACACGAGGCAATTACACAAAAAAAACAGTTAAATCGTTTCGGGACCGTGGACGCGCAGCCTCTGCATCTCTAACTGGCAACTTTGGACACTTTGCTACTCCATCTCCTCTGCATCTCTAATCCCCAGCGTACTACTGCTAGATGCAACACGCTGGGAGTTCGAGATGCAGAGGAGTGCAGCAGCAGACAGTCCAGAGTTGACAGTTGGAGATGCAGAAGCCATGGGCCCACGGTCCCGAAAGGGTCAAAAGTTCTAGAGTAGAAAATAGTAAAGAAAAAAAACAAAGAAGGTAGAAAAGAATTAAAGAAGAAGAATGAAGAAAACGAAAAAGGACGAAGAAAGAAGGAAGAAAAAAGTACAAAGTAGTAGTCAGAGGTCGAACGCGTTGGGTACCGCGCTAACTTCTCGCGTGGCGCGTTCCAATGACAATTTAGCGAATTCCTAATTCTTATTTAACGAATCCCTGATTTTAATCTCATTTAGTTCCTAAGTGGGATTTAATCGCCACTAAATAGATGTTTAAGAAACATAAAATGATCCGAAACTAAGCAGCCCTTGTGGAACAAAGCACAACACGTCTTTATGTAAGCAATAACACAGAAATTCAGCGTCCTTCCGATAGTTTGATAACTATCCAACATGTTTTGAGCCATTTGTCAGGTTCATATTCGTCCTCAAGTACTCTTAAGTAGCACAATCTCTCGGTTCAACCGATGCCCTGAGGCTATTTTCCTTTATGAAGGAATCGACGCCGGGTAATAAATCACCGCAAGTCAGGAGACGGAATCCCCTAAATTGCAGAGAGCAGTGGTCGAGCTTGTGGCTGCTAAAAGGACTCATGGCTCTCCATTAGACCGCTTTTTATAGACCTGGTGAGTTGTCTTTAAGTTTGATTGATTTGTTCTGTTTGTTCTTCTCACTGTTTTTGAGCGAGGTCTATAAAAAAGCGATCGAATCCAGAGGCATGATCATTTTAGCAGCCACAAGGTCGACTGCTAGTGTCCTGCGATGTGAGGGGATTCAGTCACCTAACTTGCGTTGATTTATTACCCGGCGTCGATTCCTTCATAGAGGAGTGTAGCCTCAGGGGATCGGCCGATCCGAGGGACTGTGCTACTGAAGAATCTTGTAGGACGAAATAGGCTAACCCTTGACCTCAGAAACGGCTTCGAGGCATGTTATACCATTATCAGACTATCACTGTTTCTGTGCGAGGTCTATAAAAGAGTGGTCAAGTGGAGAGTTTCTTTTGATAATGAGCAGAAGCGGGATTGTCAATAGAAGCATTTGGAATTGACTTAAAGTTAGAACAATGAAGTAATGGCTGAAGCTCCGGTGATATTGCCTTCTTCAGACCCTCGAAAGATGAAACTGACTCGAAATCTACTCAATTAAATTCTTTCATAATCTCACCGGAAAGAAGCGCCGTAGGTGAAAATTTTTTGAGCAACAAAGCCTTTCAGCATCGGTCGCATTCCTTAAACAAAATTAATTCGAAAACTAAATAAAGAAACAAAAGTTGCCCCAGAAAAGTCGTAGTTAGAGGGTTTGGCAAAAAATCACTCTTCCTTATTGCATTTGAATCTTCGCATCTGTCTGTCGTCAATGGCGATCAGTAGGAGACTGAAGGCTTGGCTAAGAATTGATATGAAGGGATAATGAAAGGTAGCAAAACGGTGGCACCGCTCGTATAGTGGTAGCACGTGCGCCACGGTTCGGGTGAAACCCGGGTTCAACTCTCGCCTGATGTCAACTGTTTTGCATACCACTCGATGCTCCTATGTACATTTATAAGATCTGAGCACTGCTAAAAGCATTTAAAAATATAAGAAATTGCCCACATTAGCAAGAAATAGTGGGTTCAGTGATGAAAAAAAAAAGCTTTGAACGTCGGGAGGGATTCGAACGCACATTTCATCCTTTTCTGGGGCGCGTGCTAACCATTGCACTACCGGCACTTGATTATATTGAACATATATTTGTAACATCATACAACCGCTAAAAGCGTTAGATATAGAGAATTTTATTCAGAACTCTTTATTTAACCGCTTTTAGCGGTGGTATAGTGCTACAATTATAACCCACTGATGTAGAGTGATGCACAAAACTTTTGCGTCAGGCGGGGCTCGAAGCCGCATCTCACTCTAATCCGCGAGCACGTGTTATAACCCAGTTGCGCTACTGAAATAAGACCGTGAGTGGGTTCAATGCCGATACGGACTACCTGTGCCATACCGTTTGATGGTTAGCTGGAGACACATAGATGCGTTGCAGCGTAGAAAGAGTGGTGGGCAAAATGAAGCGTCCGTAATTGCAGCGGATTAGAGCAAGCGCTCCACGCCACAGAGTGAGGTGCGCGTTCGGGTCCCGGCTGACGCTAAAGTTTTTTGCACTTCACTCTACATCAGTGGGTATATCTAAAAAGTTTTAATTCATATAAAGATAGTGGATATAACCTTCGCCGTTGAGCGGACGCTTATAGATAGAGTTTTTTTACTTCCTTTAAAAGAGACAAGGCGATTTACACGAGAATTTAGGACTAAATAAAAACTAGTAAAATAAAATATTGGCCGACATTTCGCAGCAGTTTCGTCCGCTTCAGAGCCGTCTTGCTTTTTTAGGCTTTATAATTATTCAACGAAGACAAGCCAGACATTTGTTCATGTGCAACATTTTCGTCAGCTTGTCTCCAATGAATGACTGGAAGAATTCGGAAAACTAAACGGCCTTGAAGAAGGCAAAACCGCCAAAACGTCGGCCATTGTTTTACTGCATAATGGTCCCTTAGCTTTTAGCATTACAGCAATGAACACCAAATTTATTAATCAGAATCAATTAAAATTGCATGATTCTGAAATCGTTCAATTGCGCATTTTCTTACGAGCATTTCGATCTACACCTTGGCTATACTTGCTTTGAGATGGAGCTATATGGGGAATAAATTCGCTCACTGATCATACTCGAATGGCTTGCAGAGGAAAAACGCTAGCAAGCGGCGCGAGATTAACCTTCTGAGGGCCAGCGTTGATAGGCAGGCGGCTTCGTGCCGTCGCTTGCCCGGCAGTCAGACAAGCGGCTCTGCGTGTCTGGTTGCCTACCTGTGTTCTTACGAGACGCGACGCCGCCACCCCACTAGCTGAGTGAGATTTGACGTCGCGCGGCGACCATCAAAATGACTTTTATGGTCTCTAAGGGGTTAATGAAGCTTCTTGTGGACGTCTCGAACGTGACTGATCGCCCAGACTGTTCTCTTCAGCTTTGAAATTTGCGATCCATTTCCTAAGCGTCCATTATGCAGCCGTATAATCTCCCGAACCTCCACTAATCTTGCGCGCCGCCTCACTAATATATTCCCCTATGAGTCATTCGTGCATGAGTAGCAAGCGAATTTGTTCCCAAGGCAGCTCCATCTCAGAGCAAATATAGGCGAGTTGTATACGGAAATGTTCGCAGAAAAATGCGCAATTGAACGATACCAAAATCACGCTATTTAAATCACTCCCGGCCAATAGAGTTAGGGTTTGCTATTCTAGGGTTAAAACTTACGGGACGATCTGGTACAAGATTGTATTAAGGAGGGGGGAGGGGGGGGAGCGCCGTGGCCCAGTGGTTGTGATGCCGTTGCGACCCAAACCCCTTCTCCCAACACCATCCGGCAGCGAGCAGCGAACGCCCTATGGAACTCCACAGCCTGGCTATCCTCGAGATTGCAAGGAGACAGGCTCAACCAGTATTCTACGACGTTCAAGAAGAAGACAAAGTTACGAAATGAATGACAGAAGTACTGAGATCCGCACAGTGAAAAAAAAACACTGCGAAGCAAAATAAAGTGAAAGAAGTAAGTAAAGGTTTGTTTGATTCTAATTCTTCTATTGATATACTCGCCTCCGCAGATGGAGATAAAACACTGAGAACTCGACGAGTGCCGAGATTAATGTCTAATCGGCTCTGAGGAACTGAAGAGGAGGATTTCGTAGAGTCTGAAGGATCAGTAGATCGCAAATCGATGAAGAGGTTGATTGATAACCGCTCCCGGAAGCAGCAATAACACCCACGCATCGAGCACAATGCGTGGTCCCTCACTACCTAGATGGGACGCTAGGTTCCTGATTCGACAGGAATGGATGAATTCTTACAGACAGTGAGGAAATCACGGCGGTTCCCCTTTTTTAGCTGCACTGGGACAAGTTTCTAGCATTAGAGCACACAAACTACACAAGTGCTCTACTAGGACATGTTTGTGGTATTGGAGCGCATAAACTACGCAAGGCCTTCCTAAACTGTCCATCTCGTATAGGAAAATGGAGGGAATCCGGCGTTTCTTCTTTTGTTCCAGATTTTTCCAGTCATTTTACGCAGGTCACATATACTACGATCAATAGGGGGCTCAGACAGGCAAAACCGGGATAAATAGGATAAAATTCGCATTGCATTTTGACGACAATAAATGCTTCAATTACCCTAATTTACGCCTCACAACTGATCTGTTAGCAAAAAGACGCTGTAGGTGGTTTAATTGTGCATTACAAAGTGAATTAAGACTTGTTTCGTTGAGTGACGCACGCGTGCACAGTTAAGATCTCCATTGCCCCGCCCCCTATCCTCTCCCGCCTCTTGTAGGAGTATTACGGTAGGAGCTGTTTGCTCTGCAGATTCGATAAACTCAATTATTTTAGTATTTTGCTACTTACTGAAGGAGCAGACGGTAAACAAAGGATAACCGGTATGATTCCGGTTATATTTATTCATTTCGCATGACCCGTGATCATAGTTTTTTAAGTGCGAACCCCCGCCAGTTCCTGCATTCGAGCAATTTCCTCGAATTCATCCTCCACAAAGGTCCTCAAGTATTTCACGTGCTGCCTCGGCTACTCGAGGATATCGTCTTCTCTATGAATGTCGTAGAATGCAGGTTGAGACGTTTCGTCTCGCAGTCTCAGAGGTAGCCGAACTAAGGAGTTTCTAGACGTTCAGCTGGCTGATGGCAAGAGAATGGTGGGAAGGGATTGTAACAACCTATTGCTTAACACCTCGCTTTCTGATACACTCCATTAATACCCACTGCACTACTCTGGCTTCCGATTTCGGCTATTATTTATTTATTTACACGACCCGGTTGTCACTACTTCTATTGTACGGCTCCCACTCCTTCCAGCATTCAAATCGTTTTTCTTCTTAAATGACGTAGAATACTGGGCGAGCATGTCCTTGCAATGTCAAGGATAGCCTGGCTGTTGGCGATCCATAAGATGTTATTGTTGACTGCCGGGGAGTGCTGGGAGTGGGGGGAGTGGTGAGGCGGTGGAACTTGGTTTCCCACGTGCCACGACGAGCATCACAACCACTTGACCTCGGCGCCCCGAAATATGACTTTAGCTAGTTGAGTTAATTCTGTAAAGGTTCTTCTAAGATCGATCTCGTTGGCAAACGACTGTGGTCAAAGCAGATTAACCCAGTCTCGACAACATGACCTCTATAGAGATCATGCGATGCAGAAATAATGGCCGCTTTCAATTTCAACTCAACATATTTCAGCTCGTAATGATTTTGATTAGCTGCGGTCAAAACTAACAGAATCTCCAAATCTATGCTTACAGATAATCCTATTTATTATCAAGACGAAAATACGATTTTTTTCAGGTCGCGTAGGCTTGCATTCCTCATTTTGCCCGTCGAAGCTCACAATTTTATCACCAAAGTATTCAAGCGGTCAGGATTCCTTTCGGGATGAGGGGTGATGTCTCCTGGTATTTTTTTCAAATGTTGCTCTTCTGCATGAAAATACAAATTTCTATTCTGTGAATAGGTTCTTGATCTCTAAGAGATTCAAGAGACTGATTACAGACTACGAGAATTTTTGAAATTGCGTTTTAAAAATACTTAAACTCTAGACCACTCTGTATGAAACTAGTTATCCTATTAGTGCTATAGTACAGCCTCTCTACTATAGACCTGAGTACTTTCACATTCCCGAGATTTGATAATGATCGAAAAATTTTCGTCCGCTGTCGAAAAACCAGCCTTGTCGCGGGTTCGTCATAATGTATAATGTAATGTCTTCGCATGCATAGCGTCGTCAAGATCTTTACTCTTGATGTAAGTCGGTAATTCATAAGGCACACAGAGGGTTAATTTTAAGTGCCATCACCAATGCCCTAAGGCAGCAAGGATTACAGCGCAGAATCAGGTAATCTTTGAACTTCTCGCTGCATCCTGAACATTCTTCTAACCTCCCAAGCCACTTATTTCATGCTGCTCATCTCCATAGCTAAGTCGTTGATCATAACGTTTCGACTGGAAAACGTGTAACGTGATATGCATTACGTTATACGTGAATGAATTAGTAAAGGCAAATTCATCTCTTATCAATACCGTCTCTTCGAGAATCACCTGCAAAGTTTTTTTTTCTGAATGCATTGCGAGTCCGTCATCATTTCTTCTAGTTCTCAAATGTTTCATATTACAGTATGATATCGTCACTAAATTGAAGAGTACGCTATAGATGTTACTTTCGTTCCATCCTTATATTACCAGAATGCGGCCCTTGCTTGAATTTCTCATGATCGATAAAACTCAAAAACGTGTGAATGTGGTCTAAACGTGGTGACTCTTCTTCAAAGCTTTCTTTGCCTCATAACTACCCTTTGCAATCCAACTGGGACTTTGTTGAAGAATTGGTAGTAGACATACAACTGGCAGAGTATGCGATAGTTGACAAAGTTTCCTGGATCTTCATCATAGAACAACAGCACTGACTTGTTTGTCTTCCAGTCATTAAGAGGTTTACATGATAACAGGCAGCGTTTGAAGAAGCGAGTAAGAGAGCTGACGAAGACCAGTGAAAGGATGATCCGATTTGAAGGTGTAATTCAATCCAAATGAAGCGTTATTGGCGCTCAGTTTGGATGAACGTTGCGAATGCCACTTTCAACTTTTGCAACTTCAGTCATGACTGCTG